AGGACTTAGGGCATGAATTGGCAGGTGGGGTTCGGGCTACGGTGTGCTTGGAGAGTCTACCTACTAACCCCGCGAAAGTCTGAGAAGGGTCCATTTTGCCTGGTCCCCTGCCTTTAAGCATAGGAGTGGTTATGAAGTACCTGGAATGACAGTGATTATCATCGCCACAGCGATTAACCTTCTGGTATTCAAGTCTCCGATTGCATTTCGCAGATTTTGGAAAGAGTTGGTGCGCCATATAGAGCGGCCAATTTTTTCCATTATGAGCTCAAGGGCTGATAGGGACACCTGAGAGTACAATTTGTACTTTATTCACCTTCAAACTAGTTTTTTCATAATAAGTCTCGAGCACTTACCCAACAAATGTAGTGAGTTTTGATGCCATGCCAAGCCAGCACTACTCCAAAAACTGCCACAAGTGTACCTAGGCTTCTAAGTATACCTAATGTTGTGGGTAGCTTTGGTTTGAGTAGTGGTATGTAAACCTAAAATGCTACAATTTTACCAAAATTCGAGCGGTAAAGTTACTAACTTGATCTCTCAGGAAACGGTAGAGTCCGACATCGAAATGGCGCCACATTCGGGAATAACGGGATACTCGGGAAATACATATGGGAGGTGGTGGCGGTTGCATCCCTGGAAGAGGAACAAAATTTGTTTTTTTTGCAGTAACCATATAGTGGATGAAAATGTTAAAAATAATAGGCAAAACTTACCATCCAGATAAGCGAAAAATGATGGAGCACCGAATAGAACGACATATTTTAAGTGAAATAGCTGACCGACAACGTAAGCAACGGCACAAGCTAGAAAGATTTCTGTTAGAGAAGTGATGGGCACCTGATAATAAGACGCCCATACTTTCATAAGGACCCAAGCGATGTATCACAGCCATGGGCGAGCTGAACATTGTATGCACATAAATGAAATGTAAGATGAACTCGAGTACGAAGAACCAAAAAATAAGGCGAGCTCCAAAGTAGGCAGTCCATCTGAAACAAAACACAACAAAAGTCAAGCCTTACAGATTTTTTATAAATTTCTTTCTAAATCTGTAATTGTCTCCA